AGAAAGTCACTTTCCCTTTCCCATTGGTAAAATGAGGGATTTGACCTTTAGACAGTCTCTAAAGATCCTTCCGACTCTAAGCTCCTGTGAGTTTCATTAAGTTTACCACTGATTCGAGAATATTTTCACCGACGTCCACAAAGAACACTGGACTTGCGATCATGGGACCAAGCTTGCACCCTCAGAGTCTCATTTGAGCGTCACTGGCCTTGGGCTCATGGAGTCCAGGTGCCCCTTTATCCACATGAAAGTTTCACTCACATCGACAAGCTTCTCTGGGATGCTATTGTGACCAAGAGAGTTCCTTTTGAGGAAGTGGTGGGTCAGGGGACAATCACCAAAGGCTAATCTACCCTAGGGCTCCTTCTCTAGGGAATAGATGGCCTTCCAGAAGCTCCAGGGTACATGGAGAGGGTCAGAAGGAAGGTGACTGGGAAGCTGGACACGTGTGTGTTCATTAAACCTTGTGGTAGCCCTACCTGGAGGGAGCTGAAGGCCCAAGGGCACTGTTTATTTGCTCTTCATTTTAATAACCTGCATAATTGTGCTAGAACACTGCTTTTCACTTAGATGTAGGAGGTCTGCATCTCTTAAGGATGCAAATCCATGAATCCTGCCTGGGTTCCACTGTGAGTCAGTGGAGGATTAGTTTGAGAACCATGGTCTCTGAAGCCCTGAAGCTTACTACCTTGGGTGGAAAGGACTTCCTTTGAGCTAATGAAGGAATATATTTTTGTTTTCTTTTTTAGCAACAATTTTAAAAATGTTTAAATCTTTTAAGAAAATTTGTAGTAGAATTTGTTTGAAACTCAGGAGAGTTACCTGGAGTAGAGCAAATTTCTTGTTAATGTCAATTCTTCTCTATTCACATTTGAGAAGTCTAACTTTGAGCCTGGGTTGGGCCTGGCCTCTCGGGAATGGCCACCCAGGCTAAAGCCCCTCTCCCTGAGTTTCTGGGACCTCACACGGCACCAGGCAACCCTGCTGGGCCTGAGGATGGGTGAACTGAGGGTGCTCATATGTGAGCCTTGCCAGGGGAGACCCTTAGATCAGAGTACTTCCTTTCCCACACCCAGAGGAACCAAGGGTTCCAAGCATCCAAGCTGTGCTGGACTCAGGAACTGAGGACCATGTCTGTGCTGCCTCATGACGGCAGCCACAGAGGTCCCCCTCAGGACTCACCCACTGAAAAATAAGTGCATCTGGGAACCAGCAGTTAGCGTAATGGCTGTGTTGCTGGACTCCCACGTAGTCGACCGCGGTTTGTGTCCCGGACCCGGTGGCTTAAAACTCACGCCGGGCGCGTGTGCGTGCGTGCCCAGGATCCCGAGAGGAGAATGGAGGAGAAGGGATTGCGGCGTGACCATCCCCCCTGGGGGGTGATTTCTCGCTTTCTGTCTCTATGTCTCTCTCTGTCTGTCTGGCGAGCGCACACGCCCTACAGTGAAAATCTCTCCAAAAAAAAATAAATAAATAAGTACATCTGTCAGAAGAAGCCATTCTGCCCCCAGGCCCTGGACCAGCTCATGAACTGCCCACCAAGCCACCCCTTGAGAGAAACTGGTCTCAGTCTAGGTTGAATTGAGACCGTCACAGCAGGATACCTCCACCCACCCACCCCTCCTGTTCTGCCGTGACGTGACGCATTTCACTTTCAGCCAGCCATTCTTTCTCCCTTTGGCACTGAAAGCACAATTTCAGAAGCCGCTGCCCCTGAGGTTAAACACACAGGGTGTGAGCTTGGTCCTAAGTGCCCAAGAGAATCCGACATAGGCTGGTGCCATCTCCAAGTCTCTGCCCCCAGCTTGTTTTCCCAGCATGGATAGGGGCTGGCCTGCAGTGCTTAACTGGCTTTTCCTTTTCTATCAGTGGTCTGAAAAGCTCGGAGGAGGGATTCGGCTGAGTGGGTTGCAGCAGCCCGTGAGGAAAGACCTGTCGTGGACAGCACCACGAGGGATGCCGGGGACGTGCCAGCAGGCCTTTCCTGTGTTGCCTGCAATCACCCGCACAGCCTTCTTGTCTTTTGTGGGCCTTCAAAACTGTCAAGAACTCTCGTCTGCTTGGGGTTATTCGGTGCGACCTAAAGAAGAAATCAGTGGACCACAATTTAAGGACTGGTCAGACAAGAACCGCAATGGGGTGGGCTCCTGTCTGCCTACGTACGAAAGGTCTGTGTGTCAGTGGGTGTCTGAGTCCAGGCGTGTGCTGTCAGCTGTGGATCCAGGCTGCCCTTCGTTCTAATGGGCCCACCTCCCCACTACAGACTCCTGCCTAACACCAGGGAGCCCTATCGTTGTTGCAGTTTTCTCTCATCTGCTTATTGGGGAAGAAGTGGGAAAAGAAATGGAATGGAATGAAAACTGAATTGTGGAATAAAAACACTGAATTGAAGAGGAGCTGCACCCTCTGACCACGAGACCCTTGACCAGCCCAACATCTTCCACAGACACACAATGTTGAAGACCTTCCCAAGCTGTCGCCACCCTTGGAAATAATTTCTTATTTATTAGATGAATAATGGATTTATTTTTAATCTCTTAGTCAGTGTAAAAAGCATAAGCCCCTTCAGACTTCTGTATTAGTGATATATGTATTGCTGGCTCAAAAGTTATACTAATTAGAAATGGTGGCTTAGGCATGGGGAAAGCCTCCTGGGGGTGCAAAGACGTAACCAGAGGGGGGTTGCTGATAGGAGCAAAACGGGTTCAGAGTTCGTGCCACGTAAGACACAAAGCAGGTAAATACGCTGGATACGTTCTAGGAGAAAGGGTAGCAAATGTGGCAGCAGGGGTCTGTCCCCTCTGTTGGGGGAGAGAGGAAGGGAGTGCCTCTGTGTGTGGCTACACAGAATTTGCACAATACATACGACACTGCTCAGCGATGAAACAGATGAACTCCCCTGTGAGCCCTCCAAGAGTGTGTCCAGAATCAGAGCATTCGCAGTGAACCGTGGGCATTGTAGGCCCAGTCCATGAAATCAAGGCCAGTCTTTATTCCTCGTGTTGTCGCTTGGTTGGTTTATTGCTTTGTTTTCCAAAGGAAAAATGAACTTTCCTATTTATTTTCAAACATTAGGAGAAATAGTTTAGTGACTTTTTTTTTTTTTTCCTTTTCCAATGAGGATGATGGTGTTAACAAAACCTCTTAACAAGCCACCTTCACCGTATGTGTCTGTCTCACTTTGCCCCAGAAGGAGAGACTGGTTTAAGCATCTGGGAATGTTCTGACCCACTGGGTCTGCCTGACCCACCTACCCGAAGCAGTGGTACCTTCAGGTCTACAGCAGACAGCTCCTCCCAAGGAATTTTCATTAAAATTTGGAAACAGAACAACAATGAAATAATATATAAACCCCTTCTGTGAGGAAAGTATTTACCAATATTTAAAAAGTGAAAGATTTCCATCTATTAACCCTTCAGTGCATCTAACTTATCATATCAGGAAAGGGGCATTTAAAATATGAAGTGGGCTGGAAAAAATGTAAAAATAAATAAGTAAATGGAAAAAAAAAAAACTTAAAAAAAATTTTTTAAAGAGAAAATGTCCTCCCCCTAATTCTTCTTCCCTGACCTGTTTCTATGGATTGGCTTTTGACTTTTTTTTACACTTGAGGTAATTATCTGGCCCGTGTCTTCACTTCAACACTCATTTAATAATCCACACCTGAAGCACTGAAGACAGAAACAGGATCTGTTGACAATTGGTCCCGAAACAATGTAGTTGCCACAGGTCCAGGATTTTAATTTAATTTAATTTAGATTTAATTAAAGAAAATAGGTTCAGGTCACACTCCTTGGGCCAGTCCTACAGCAGCATAAATGTAAACTAAAGCTTGAGTGTCACTTTCTGCTCAGAGGCCAAAGGACACTGGTTTTTAAACCCCAGTTTCCACTCACTAGACCCTCCTAAAAGTCTGAGATTTGGATCTAGAGAGACTAATGCAAGTGGATTAGTGTCACTTGTCTTTAACTTGAGTTGACATTTTTTACTTTACGACAATCTTTCTCAGCCTGTTAGAGACTCTAGGTCTGGTTGCCTTTAAAGATGTGATGTGAAAGTAGGTCTTGGGGTTCTCTCTGCCCAATAGATAGAAAGATCCATGTCCAGCCTAAAGACAGCATCAATAATTGACACTGATGAGACTTGGCAGTGTGTGAGAAGATGAGGATGGACAGAGAGTGGAAGCAGAGATTCCCTAGAAGGACTTTAGATAGACTGAGAGTCTGTGGATGCTCTGATTCCCAGGTCTAGCCAGTCAGAGCTGCTGAAACCCCCTTCTCTGTGTCTGGACACCCACACAGCCAATGAGCTTGAATGTATGCCTCCCTAGAAGTGCCTTCCAAGTCAGTCCTTTGTAAACCAGCAGGTCTGAAAAGATTGGAAGCAGAGGCTGGGCAAGGCAGGCCCGGTTGAACTAGTGTCCATGCCCTAGGATATGGTAACCTTGCTTCTTTGGTGATTTCTCTTTCAGAAGCCCAATGACCAATAAGCATTGGATTCCTCTACCATTTCACAGCACAAGTAGTTCTTTGGTTCGCTATAAAAATACCCTCTTTTCAGTTTAAAAATGCATCTTCTAATTCATCTCTGCAAGCTCCCTGTGTTTCCCTGCCCTGTAAGAGTCGAGTGTTCATTCCCATTAGGGAATCATCCCTAATGCAGGCCTGACCTGCGAAGCAGCCACAGCCTGGCAGTGGGGAACATGGCTGTTCCCAGTGACTCAGGAGACCATGAAAGCCCCCATGAAAAACAACACAGTTTTTAAAATGCCTTCAGATGTTTTATGGAGCCTGAATTTCCCCACTGCTCTCCAGCCTGTGGCTTTTTTAAGCGTACTGGCAGGAAATGTTTTCTTCTACATGGAAAGCTATACAGCAGCCAGCCCTGATCTGGAAGACGGAGCCACATGTGGACACACACAGAACCACACAAGGGATGAGTTTGGCTTTGTGTCCCAGCAGAGCAAGTAGGTTGAATGACCCTGAGTCCTTTCTCCTGAGAAAGGAGAAGGAGGTGGGCTGGACACTCACTTCTTCATATTGGTCAGGGAGGAGAATGTGTGGTCCTGGAGCTTCTTGAGAGATTGTCCTTTGTGGGTGTACAAAACTGCCTGACATCTTCAAGTCAGGTCTTTCAGGCCACTGATTGCCTTTCCAGGCAATATGACAAAGATGGACCAACAAGGCTCTAACACTTCTCAGGAGACCCTACTCCCAATAGGTTCTGGGCTTTGATCTCTCCCAACCTACCCAGCCAAGAAGAGTAGAATGATTCCGAAGTACAGAGGCCACAGATGGCATAGTAGTTGAGGTGCTGGACTCCCACATGGCCTGACCATGGTTCAAGTCCTGGACCTGGCAGTTTAAACATCACAACAAACAAGTAGATAAATAAATGTTAAAAAATAATAATAATACAATTAAAAAGTCCAGGGTCAAGGAGACATTACAGAAACAAGACAAACACACATGTTTGTAGTGTTCTAACATAAGACCTATTAGTCTCTCTAGCCTTTGATTTGATCAGGCATTCTGAAAGATCTAATGGTATACTCAAATGCACTCACACACAACAGACACACACAGAACCATAAAGCAACCCCTCTTCCTAGTGTAATAACTTATAAATGTTCATTATCTTTATTATAACAAACCTGATGCTTTTTTTAGAACCCGTTACTCTGACTTCTGTATATGTTGCACTGAAAAGGTTAATATTTAATGTTTTAATTTATTTTGTGTGGTAAGTTAATTTTGATTTCTGTAATGTGTTAATGTGATTAGCGGTTCTTCACCTTAATATCTGAATTATACTTAAAGAGTAATGAGCAATATAAGATGCAGTGTGTTTTTCAGTAATATGCATTGTTGTTCAGTTGTACTGTACTTTGAAAGGATGAAGGAATGAACTCTTTTTTTTTTTCCTAAATCAAGAGTGGAGTTTTCTTTCATGAGATTGCCACATGGCCTGACCATGGTTCAAGTCCTGGACCTGGCAGTTTAAACATCACAACAAACAAGTAGATAAATAAATGTTAAAAAATAATAATAATACAATTAAAAAGTCCAGGGTCAAGGAGACATTACAGAAACAAGACAAACACACATGTTTGTAGTGTTCTAACATAAGACCTATTAGTCTCTCTAGCCTTTGATTTGATCAGGCATTCTGAAAGATCTAATGGTATACTCAAATGCACTCACACACAACAGACACACACAGAACCATAAAGCAACCCCTCTTCCTAGTGTAATAACTTATAAATGTTCATTATCTTTATTATAACAAACCTGATGCTTTTTTTAGAACCCGTTACTCTGACTTCTGTATATGTTGCACTGAAAAGGTTAATATTTAATGTTTTAATTTATTTTGTGTGGTAAGTTAATTTTGATTTCTGTAATGTGTTAATGTGATTAGCGGTTCTTCACCTTAATATCTGAATTATACTTAAAGAGTAATGAGCAATATAAGATGCAGTGTGTTTTTCAGTAATATGCATTGTTGTTCAGTTGTACTGTACTTTGAAAGGATGAAGGAATGAACTCTTTTTTTTTTTTCCTAAATCAAGAGTGGAGTTTTCTTTCATGAGATTGGGATGTTGCTGAAGCACCTGAAGCTGTTTCTCTGCCTATCAGAATGATGAGAAAAAAGTTAGCCGGTCTTTTACGAAATATGAGAATCCTAAAATTAACCAGAGTTGACCCTTGTCTGCCTGAAGAAATTAAGTGCTTCTCCATATTAAATATATAATCCATGTCCGGCAATACTTACTGGTGTCGGGGGAAGTATGTAAGACACACTTCCTATCCCAGAATGAATTGAGATCTGGCTGGGAAGGCAGACTGACATGCAGAAAATAATTTTAGAGTATTTATTTTTTTTTAAGAATTATTTTTACTTAACTTTATTTATTTATTTATCTATTTATTTATTTTGACCAGAGAGGGACAGAGCGAGAGAAAGAGAAGGAAAGTGAGGAAGTAAGCCGCCAGGTCCAGGACTCGAACCACAGTGGCCCATGTGGGAGTCCAGCGCTCTTAACCGCCACACCACCTGCTGGCCCAATTTTAGAGTATTCTAAGACAAAATACAAGTAAATCGTGAAATTATATAGTAAACAGTATGTGTTAATATTTGCAGTTCTCCAAGTGTAGTCTCAGACTGGCTATATCAGTGGCACCTGGGAACTTATTAGGAATGTAAATCTTTTTAACTTTCTTTCTTTATTTTAATTTGAGTGAATTCAAGAAAGAGAGAGAAGGAAAGTAAGAAAGCAAGCCACCAGGTCCAGGATTGGAACTGCGGTTGGCTGTGTGGGAGTCTAGCGCCCCTAACCACCACACCACCTGCCGACCCCAGGAATGCAAATCTTTGAGCCTATTTTAGGCTGTCATGTTCCTTAGAACAGAAATTCCTGAGTGTGTATAGTTTGAAAAGAATAAAAGTTTGTTCCACTCATAGTTTTGGAGGTCTAAGATAAAGGAGACACATCTGATGAGGGTCATCTTGTTGCTGAAGACTCTGCAGGGTCCCAAGGTGACAAGGCATATCACATGACATGATGGCATATGTCTGTGTCCATGTGTCTGTCTCATTCCCTCTCCTTATAAACCCATCAGGATTCTGTCATGGAGGTCCCACCCTGATTACATTAACCCTAATCACCTCCCAAAATCCTCACCTCTTAATTCTGTAGTTCAATTTTTACTCTTTTAATCCCATCACAACCAAATCTCATCACTTGAATTGGGGGGGAGGCATTCAGACCGTAGAGGGGCCCCAGTTCAGATCTACAAAACTTTGGAGGTACCTCACTTCCCTGCTGCCCTCCAGGTGATTCTGATCCATGTTCAGATCTGAGAACCACTGTGTTACAGGACTCCGTGAGGGGACAAAGTAGTATGGGGCTACAGTTTTTAGGAGAAGCTCAAAGAGGTTTTGCAGAAGAAGTGAAACAGCACACTTTATCCCTTAGGGTTTAAATATAACAGCTGTCAGAAAGTGTGACCTTGGGGGCCAGCAAGTGGTGTAATGGTTAAAGCACTGGATTCCCACATGGCCAACCATGGTTCAAGTCCCAGACCTGGCAGCTTGAAACTCACACCAGGTGTGTGTGCATGTGTGCCCAAAATCCTGAGAGGAAAATGGAGGAGAAGGGATTGTGGCATGGCCATCCCCCGTGGGTGCGATTTCTCATTTTCTCTCTGTGTCTCCAATAAGCACATGCTCTCTATAGCAAAAACTCTCAAAAAAAAAAAAAAAAGTGTGACCTTGAATTAAGGCCTGCATTTATTTGGATCCTCTCTGTTCAGCCTACTTGAAGAGAAAAATTGGCCTGTCCCTCTCCACCAACTCATCCCACTCCCAGTTGCCCACTGCCCACTCTCACTACAGTTACTTGTCCTGAAACTGACAACGTGGGTCTTACAGACCCATAGTAAAGCCTCTACACTTCTAATCCATGTGTGGGACCTGCATGAGCAACCCATAAGGAGCTCATGGAGGAGAAGCCAGGCCTTCCCATGCCTCTGCTCCTCCACAGTTCTCTCTGCTGGGAATGGCTTGTTCTGCTTCTTTGTTCCTTCTCTTTCTCTCTGAAGCCTTCCTGAGGTCCCCAGGATAACCCCTCCCTCCCCCAAAACACCCAAAGAATTTTATGCATATTTCTGTTAGAACACTCATCTTGTTGTGATGAACTCTTGGTTTCTCCTGAGTTGTCTAGGTCCCAAGCCATCTTACGCCACAGGTCTATCACAACTCCCATGAGGTCAGAACTTGCTGTGCATCTCAGAAGCCCAAGCGCTTAGCCCACTGCCTGAGGCATGATAGTTAATGCCACAACGTTTTGTCAAAAAATCATCAGATATATTAGGCTTTGATTGGACCAACATATGTCTCTGAAGGCAGGAGGGCAATGTCATATGAGATTGCTGGGTCTCATGGGGCTGCCTTATTGGGACTTGGTGTTAGCTGCTACAGACAGATACTTCTAAAGGTCAACTGGCTCTTTGTGACTCTTCCTGGCCCCTATCCTTCATAAGCAGCCTTGCTTGTATGCAGAAATGTAAGCTCTGAGCAGTGGCTTACCAAGACTTCTGTCTCAGCCTAGGTGGATTTGAAAGAAATTTTTAACCCCAATGTGGGTTCCATCCTCTGTGTTAGTGGCACACAGAGGTTGACTCTTACAGAATATTCCGTTTTCATGGCTCTATTTCTTTGCTGATGCCCCAGCAACCTTCCTTTCAAGAAACAGCCCCGGCCCTGAGCCCCAGGAACTGCTTATGACTGAAGATGAGGAAGTTATAAGTGGAAATAGGTAAGAGAAAGATGAGAAAGGTGTTCTCCTGAGCCTTTAGTCTACGTGATTTCTTGTGATTGTTCCATGAATTCTAATCCATTTCTTTGGGAGACCTTGGAGAAAAACTGGCAATGTGGGTAATTACAACTCTACATCAGTTGAAACAGAACATTTATTAGGTCATTGGAAAAGTCATAGAAAAAAATATGTAATGACTTTTCTGATGACCAAAAAGGTGTCATGACTTTTCCAATGACCCAATATTTAGTGCCAGGAATATCAATAGGTAATACAGTGAGTGTAAGAGTGCTCCAACAAATGACTTTGCTACCAAGTTACATTCCTCTCCACAACACAAAACTTTTTAACTTGTCTACTTTGAAATTTGGGTTTCCCAAATGACAGGTCTGAGATAAGAACTTGGGGACAGATTGTGTACTTTGGAAGGAATCCCCAGAAG